TTCATTTTTAAAATATCCAGCAATAACTTTAGGACCACTTCTTGTGGAGAAAGCATGAACCCATATCATTTGTCTGGAAAATGTATTGGTTGCCCTAGTAATACAGATACCAAATGGCTTCAGTTTATCATAGGACTTAACATGCAACAAGAAATTAGGTCCAGGATTCATATATATGAGTCGCATCAGCCTTCTTCTCCACCTTTGTTTCACACCCCTTGGGTCCAGAAATTCTAACAGACGTCTCACTATATTCTGAGTTACAACATGTCCCTGTTGAACACATTTAAGGTGGTGAAACTTATATCCATGCAGGCTCGTATAACTCTCCAGCTGTTCAAGGAGGAAGGCGGCCACATTTAGAGGATCTAATTGATATTTTCTTCTAACAAGTCCCAATCTTGGAAGGATTCTTCTTAATGTGCACATGCTAATACTGATCTCATCCACTGTGTACAGCAGCATCAGCATCTCTCTATGTCTTAGAATGAGCATAAAGTAAAACTTGATCAACTCCAGTAAACTTGCCATCGAACGACCTGAGGAGATGACATGCATGATTAAACCATGCCACGTTTACCCGGATAACCTTGTTATGATAGTTATTATTTTCCACCAAAAATTTACTTGGAGCACCAACTTCTGTTTTGTCTAAAATGAGTCTTGTGGACTAAAAGCATACTAGAGCCACCATCTGGATAAAGTTATCACATTTATACAATATAATTATATAGTTTATACAATATACTTATCAGATTTATACAATACAGGGACAGGTGGGCTCTCCTCATCCTCTACATGAAGTACAAGCGCTTCTATGCCTTGTTGACCTGTGAGGTGCTGTTCACAGTCCAGGTGAGGGTGTCTGTTATGTGCACCCCCAGGAATTTGGTGCTGCTAACCACCTTCGCAGTTTGCTATTGATGAGCAATGGAGCATGGTTAGGCCGGTTCTTCCTGAAGATGACGATGATCTTCTTCGTCTTCCCCACATTTAGGATCAGGCTGTTTTCTCTACATCAGCTCACCAGCTGCTCCACCTCCTCTCTGTAGTCCCAGATGTTGTTTTCCCTGATGAGGCCCACCACCGTAGTGTCATCTGCAAACTTCATGATGTGATAGGTGGTGAACCTGGGGATTCAGTTGTGTATCATCAGAGAGAACAGCGGGGGTTTCAGGTCACAGCCGTGAGAGGAGCCTGTGCTCAGGGTGAAGACATCAGAGGTGTTCTGTCTGACCAGGACTGACTGAATTCTGTTGGTTAGGAAGTCTAGCAGCCAATTGCAGAGGGATGAGCTGAAGCCCAGATATTCCAATTATTATATTATTTCAATAGATTTCTGCTATTACAACTCAGAGTCAAGCTTGATATCACTAGAAGTCCCAGAGAATTTCAGTTTTCCTGCAAGCCCCCCTCCCCTCTTCAAGTTTGTGTATTCACTCTGCCTTGCTAGATGTGTCTATTGTAATGCAAATAACCTGTGATTTGACCAGCCCTTCTACATGAGACTGGATAAAGGCTGAAACAAACTGGCATCAGAACAAGAGCATGTTACAAGCACTTTTCATTACCTGCCCCTGCAACATCAGACCTTTTAGCAGAGATATATTGATAAGTCATATCTAAATCTTTTATTTAGGCAAACCTATTGAACAACCAGATATCATAGCGGGCCTAGTTCCTGAGCTGAGAACAGGTCATAACCATGCTTTTGCAACAAGGCAAGGCAGAGCCTTTTTATATTGTCCATTCACCAACAGAACTTTATTTTTGGAGATATTTTTTATTGTTATAAGCCTATAATAGCCAACAATTACTCTATAGATCATTCCGGGGGAACCAGGTCGGCTGAAATTAGAAACACCCATGGTAAGATCTCATGAGGCAAAAACAGCAACAGAAGACAGCTAATGCACTGACATTGGACTATTTTTACAATATATAATCTAACAAAGGCTAATCAGAAAAAAACTGATGCAGAAAACATATTAAGGATGGCACACAAAAGCTTTATTCGTGTTTAGAGCTCTGAACACTCAGTTTCACATCACATCAATAAAGTTATGCAATCTCAGCTGCATGATGTGAGAGTAAACATGGTATGTGACCCATGACTTTTCTGACATAAAGGGTCAAAGTTATTAATAATTGCTAGTCTGTGTTGGAAGCTTTTTGACGATACATGACAGAAAAGTGTTTATATGATTTCAGTAAAAGTATGCACCACAAATTCACCAAAGCTTCTGCAGAGTTATGAGTTTAATATAAGGCCATCATTTGCCTTATTTTGTCTGTACACTGGCCCATATGAAAGTATGAAAAAATAAACAGTGTAGTACATGGCATTCATATAACAGCATAAAGGATAATGCAAAGTACAGTTATCAGAAGGTCATAAAAATTGTCGATGGGACCAACTGACCTGGACCCTTGTTCAAATTAGAAGTTTTCCTTTTTATCGAAAAAAATGAAAAGTTATTTTTTTATAAAAAAACAAATAAAGAACCAAGGATGTTACTGTTAATCCTGCACAGATTTTCGGCAAACTTCTTCTCCAGCTAATTTCGCTGTCGTAATGCAATACCTTTATAATTTTGTTCACCGCCATGTTGTTTTCTGAACATGGCAGTAGCCCTGCCACGGTCTCATGGAATAGGACGTGAACACTCAAGATCACATTTCGAAAGCTTTCTGACCAGTCCATCCCAGCTGTGGAGTAGTTCTCATCTCGGGTATGATGCATCAGGACCAGAATTACCTTATCATGTCCTGTGGACAAAGAAATGAATTAAACAAAAAATAAGAGTGATGGGCCTTCTTAAAGCATTGCCAGAACTGTTCTGTGCTTAAGGCATTACACTAAATATGGAGGAAAAGTTGTGCTATGAAATAGATTTTACAACACCTTAGGCAGATTACCTCTGACCAAATTAATGGCTGCTTCCACATCTGACCCAACACGAGAAGTGACCGGACAAAAAAGCATAGTGATGCAGTTTCTGTGCCTGTCTGTTTTTATCAGTGCTATCTTCTTCTCCAGCTGGTTCAGCACAGTGCGATGAGCTCCAAAGGTTTCCCCCGAAGTGACCACATGGATCCTAACTGTACTTATTAAGCAAGATATGAAATTAAAAAATATAGAGAGAACACAACATCGCTTTTTTCTATACATCCCATGACTAGAGAATCTCACTCACCAAATAAACTTAGAAACACATTTATTCCTAATAAAAAAACAAAAAACAGGAAAGTTAGTTTTACCGGACTCACTTGTACACAGTTAAACATGAAACCAACATTATTATTATTTTTTTTTAACTGGGACATGGTTTCAAAAAAGATTATTTATGCTTGGCCAAAACAGCAGCTATGTTTGGATGCACAGCTTAAACGACACAATCCGTTTCCATTACACTTAATATTGTCATTCTGTGGATGTGGCCTTAATGTTAATCTGAAGCACACGCTTCAGACTGCTAAGCAATACTACAATTAAGCTTTAATAAAAATAAAAAAAACACCCTGTAGAAAAATGCATAGTGCTATGATAATATACTTGTGGCTGTGCTGATCATAACTGAAACAAAACCAGGAAAAATTTTGTTGTAAGGTGAATCAGAGTAAACAGTATTTTCTTTCTAATGAGCAATTACTTACCTGTCTGAATTACATTATTCAATAAGGACAATACAATATTAAAGGAAAATGTATATAAACTGTAGCAAAACATTTTCATCATTAAATCAAAACACATCAGAGTATACAATGAGGAAAATATGTATGGTATTTCACAGGTACTCCCACTTAGAAATTATGAAGGGGTCTGAAATTGTCATAGTAGGTGCATGTCCACTTTGAGAGACATCTAAAAAAAAAAAAAAAATCCAGAAATAATAATATATGTCTTCTTTTTAACTATTTATGTGTAAGATACAGCTAAATCGAGTCACAAATTGAGACTGCATCACACTGATAACACCCAGCCAAATAGAAAATCCATTTTTGCAGCATATATATTCGTTTTTGCACTGCTCTGAACTTCCACACCATGTTTTTTTTCCCCACGCTGTTAACATGCGATCACTGCTGCGCTTTATGAAATGGAAATGTGTATTTCACTGCTAAGCTGCTGCTCATTCACTGTATGAAAGGTGTACAAAAAAAATAATTTTGTATACACTCTGTGTATATAAAAGGACAATTGTATAAGTCTAAGTTCTATAAGTTTAAGTCAAATTAATATTTTAACACCTGTCTATCAGCTAGAATTTTGACCCTCAAAGACCTGATAATCTGCCTTCAAAATTTCCACCTCCACTCCATTAATTATCCTAAATTAGATGTAGGGCTGGGCGATATAGAAAAAAAGCTTATCGATAAAAAAAAATGCATATTGATCGATATCGATAATTATTGAAAAGATTTGAAACCATATTTTATGTGCAGCTCTGCCTGGACTTTTTATAATATTGCTAAATGATTTAATTTTAATAAAAAACACAAACACAGACTTCGAATTAAATCTTTATTTAACCAACTTTTTTAACCATAACAGAATTGTTTTAAAGAAAAATAACTTAAGAGACCTGAGTTATGTTATTAAATACTGACAAAGAACTACTAAAAACTAAAGTGACCAGAAAAGTGACCAAAATAAATATAACAAATAAATAAATGCCCCGCCACCGCCGCCCCCATTTCCTGCTTTAACCTGAGTTATTACTTTGAAGTTGCTGGCCCCTCAGCATTTTTATCTCAATTGTTAGAACTACGTGGGAAACTGCCCAGAACTGAAAATATATATACTGTATATATTTTCCGAAGATTCCTCGGAGGAGAGCCGCACCGGGGCCTAAACAGCTCGTACTCCTGCGGCTGTGAGTGGCTGAGATGAAAAAAAAAAGTTGGTTTCGTTATCAGACTGGTTTTCACTGGTTCCCGACACATTTTCCAGATGACTGTGGTTTGTTTTTGGTCCGACTTGCCATGACCGAAATACTGCCAGACTGCCGAACTATAAAAACCTTTCTTTGAAACAATTTCCTCCGCCTCTCCTTGCTGCGACATCTTCATGTGCTCTGTGTTGTGGTTTGAGAGGGCGGCGCTTGGTGACGGCGTGCCTGGGTCCGCGATTGTGATTGGTTGGGAGGAAGCAGTGACTAGCATAAACCTACATGCTAGGCTACAATGAGAAGGAAGGAAAACTACGTTTCTTTTTTATCGAACTTTTATCGACCCTCTTTTTTTCTATTGCGCCACACGTCTATCGATCGATATATATCGTTATTGAATTATCGCCCAGCCCTAATTAGATGCACCTTTTTGAGGTTGTTAGCTGCATAAAGACACCTGTTCACCCCATACAATCAATAAGAATCCAACTACTAACATGGCCAACACCAAAGAGCTGTCCAAAGACAGTAGAGACAAAATAATAAACCTCCACCATGCTGGAAAGGGCAACGGGGAAATTGCCAAGCAGCTAGTTGAAAAAAGGGCCACTGTTAGAGCCATCATTAGTAAATGGGAAACTAAACACGACGGTAATGTTGCTCCCTCGGACTGGGGCTCCATGCAAGTGCTCAAGAAAGGTGAAAAATCATTCCAGAACTACACAGGAGGAGCTGGTCAATGACCTGAAAAGAGCTGGGATCACTGTTTCCAAGGTTACTGTTGGTAACACACTAAGACTTCATGGTTTGAAATCATACATGAATCGGAAGGTTCCCCTGCTCAAACTAGCACATGTCAAGGGCCAGTCTAAAGTTTTCCAATGTTCATTTGGATGATCCAGATGAGTCATGGGAGAAAATCATGTGGTCAGATGAGACCAAAATAGAACTTTTAATGGAACATAATTCCACTAACCGTGGTTGGAAGAAGAAGAATGACGAGTACTATTTTTAAGAACACCATCTCTACCCTGAAGCATGGGGGTGGTAGCATCATGCTTTGGGGCTGTTTTTCTGCACATGGGACAGGGCGACAACACTGTATTGAGGGTCCTGGCTGGGTCTTCCAACATTAAAATGACCCAAAGCACATAGCCAGTTTCCAGACCTAAACACAATAAAGAATTTTTGGGGGAAGCTCAAACTCAGTGTTTCTCAGCGAAAGCCCAGAAACCTGACTGATCTGGACAAGATCTGTGTGGAGGAGTGAGCCAAAATCTGTCCTGCAGTGTGTGCAAACCTGGTGAAAAATTACAGGAAATGTTTGACCTGTGTAAATACAAACAAAGGCTACTGTACCAAACATTAACATTGGTTTCGGCTGTATAATACAAATAAATAGTTTAAAAATCATACATTGTGGTTTCTGGATTTTTAGTTTTTTAGATTATGTCTCTCACAGTGGACATGCACATGCAATTACAATTTTAGACCCCACCAGGATTTCTAAGTGGGAGAACCTGCTAAATAGCAGGCTGTTCAAAAACTTGTTTTCCTCAATGTATATTTATTGAAGAAGTATTGGTGTTATCATATTAGTGTCTAAATAAATGACAGGGAGCAATGTGCTGAAATCCAGAGATGTGTATGCTTAGAGTTTAGTCATGTAAAACTATATGATCAAGTGTTCTGGCACCAAAAGGTCAGAAATGTTTCCTAGAGATTTTGGTGCATATTGGTGTCACTTAGCTTTTAGCTACTACTGCATACATAAGGTTGGACAAAGGGTTAAAGTTCTTAAAGTTGTCATAGACATGCGTAACAACAAAGGAAAGGGAAAGCAAAAGTGTTTTTCTGCATGGTGCATGTGGACTTGGCACTAATGTGCGTAGAAAATGTCTGTTACTCTTTAATTGTTTGTATTTAAGTTCATTTATAGGGGTGTTAAGGAGAAAGAAAAGTAGCTGAAAATACTACTAACCAATTTCATAATTTTCGGCACAACACTATGAGAACAAATTTAAATTAGTGGTTTGGTTGTAGTAAGAGGCAACAGCTATATGTACAATCTGATATCTAACGAAACTGTACAGAAGTAGCAGCAGGTAAGTTGAAACATACCCCTCCAGATTGTAGACCGGACATCAGACATGGTCACTGAAATCAAAGCCAAGATCACAAAATGTAAATAACATCAAAGTCTTTATATATTGTTTAATTTCAGTAGAAATAACTTTTTTTGGTGTATCTGTACAGAACAAAAAAAAATAGTTATGATATAGGGTAGTAAATCTAATTTCGTAGCTGGCAAAGGAAAAAGGCATTAAACATTTTTCATATGAATTGGCAAAACCCATATCCTTAATTCTAACCAATACACTACGTTTCAGCGGTTGTTTTGAGACAGATCCAACCAGCTAATCTGTGATATTATCAGCTATGTGTTTGCTGTATTTGTAATGAGTGAATTCAAACACACTTGCTTACAGTATGTACTCTCTATGTGCATGTACACACACATAGCCCTTTACTCTCTATGAACATATTAAACAGTTACATTAGTTACATATGACACCTGCCTATTAAAACATTTTAAGAGTAGAAATAATAAAAGACATTTTACCGGTATTCAGTATGTGAAGTGTGTAAAGTCCTACCGTTGCTGTGGTGCTGCTGCTGACTGAAAGTTAGTGAATGTGAGTAAGAGAAAGAACTCATCCACTTTCACTTTTACTTTTAAATGCAGATAAGTCATGTGATTTCCAAGAAGACAAGTCCTGCCCCATGGGTATAAACCCTGTTGTTATGGGAGTAGAAAAGTATTTTTTGAATAATCCAAATGTCATAAGCTCAAAACCTTTGACCCAATATTTAAAGCAGTGTTATGCCATATGCCATGATCATACTTTTTGGACATTAGGAACCAGTGTCCATATTTCATCTTGACATGACATGATGATGTGGAATCAGCTGTGGAATCTCTGCAACAACCCCCGCTTCAGCAAAGCCCCCACATGGAAGCCACCAGAGGTGTGAGGTGTGAAAAACCACCCCCTCTGTAGGGACAGACAAAACCACAGAGCACACAGGATTCTGCCTCTTCTCTCTCTTTCTCCCTCTTCTGATCCAGCCTGCTTCTGCTCCTGCGCTCAAAGCTGGGGCCCACTGTGGCCCACAGTGGAGATGCGGGCCCCAGGTGAACCAGATCCCCAGAACCATCAGGGATAAGTCAAACCCTTCAGAACCAAACTGCTGCAAACAGAACCTTTGCAACACATGTCTCTTGAGTTTCAGAACTTACAAAGCCAAACTGGATGAAGACCTTGCCCAGGGTGTGAGACTGAGAGGACCCCTGCTGTGAGACTGAGACAAAGAATCCCTGACTGCAGAGCTGCAAAACTGGATGAACTTAGGCTTTCCAAATGGACATGGAAAAAGGTTTGCAGGTCTGGCATGATTAGGGACAGAACAAGCAATGTGTCTTTTGATGATGCTAATACTTGTGCACAAGATGAAGCCATACTTGTGCACAGCCTTGTCACCTCCCAACTAGATTACTGCAACTCCCTCCTCTTTGGACTTCCTCAGAAATCACTCCACAAACTACAACTGGTCCAGAACTCAGCTGCTCGCATCATAACAAGAACTCCCTCTATCCACCACATCACTCCGGTCCTCCGACAGCTCCACTGGCTCCCCATACAGTTCCGCATTCAATATAAAATTATCATGGTGACTTTCAAGGCACTTCTTCATCTTGCCCCCCCATATCTGTCAGACCTCCCGCATGCTCCCAGCCCCTCCCGTGTTCTTAGATCCTCATCTGCTTTGCACCTGTCTGTC